AATAAAATAAAATAAAATAAAATAAAATAAAATAAAATGTTATCAGTGTACTTATCACACTGCTCAACCACGTGGTCACAGACGTGACTCTCATTAGACTCTGCACCTCAAAAATGCTTCCAACCAAAGCTGTGAGAAGTTAAAATGTATTTCATGGAGCATTTATGCAATTAGCATTTAGCAACTGTTCAATTCACCAAAACATGGCAATTATTAAAAACAGAAAGTAGGTGGAGAGGCATTATGGACTGGATGTTTGTGTCCATATTCATATATTGAAATCTTAATACCCCAAGGTGATAGTATTAAAAGGTGAAACCTTCTGGAGGTAATTAGGTCATCAGAGTAGAGCCTCATAAATGGGATTGATGCCCTTCTAAAAGATCTCCCAGAGCTCACCCTTTCTGCCATATGAGGACTCAGCAAGAAGATGGCCATCTATTGATGACAAAGCGGGCCCTCACCAAACACGAAATCTGCCAGCTACCTGATTTTGGACTTCTTAGTCTCCAGAGCTGTGCAAATAAGTTTCAGCTCATTAACCACCCAGTATATCTTAGCAGCACGTCTCTCCTCGGTAGGAGGCAACAAAAAAGGAGTTGGAGCGAGCAGGCCAGGAACTAGAGATACTGGACAGCCCAGTGGAATAACTCTAGGGAGAAGGGGTTAGGAATGCAGGCTCACCCAGCCTAACCCCCTTCTCCCTTCTTCGTCTCAACACTCTGGGAAAACAAAACACCCGATTCCCACCACGCTTTGCAGCCGAGTGGATTCTTTGCTGGGATCCTATGCAGAGACTGCCATATAATGCCGGTACAAGGAATGTCCAAAAATATGAATGACCCAAATGTATAAACCAATACAGATACAATCAGTGACTTAAAAAATCTTTTTCTCAGCACACAGCACCATTTATGAAGCACTCTTGTAAAATCGGGGACCTGAATTTATTCAAGTGTTTCGTGCTTCCATTTATAGGAAAGATTATAGCTGGAGGAACCCATTGAATGACAGCAAACAGAAGCATTTTTGAGATAATCGGGGAAAACTGATTATTGCCTGGGTATTAGATGATACCAAAGAGCAACTTGATAATCTCAGTCATTTTTTTTCTATCGTCAGTAGAAATACATACTGAAGTATATAGAGGAGAATGGTAACTTAGATTGCTATTTAACAAAATTCTCTCACACTCCCCAACGCCGCTACAAGACCAGAGTGCATTTCATTGCCCCGTGACTTTGGATTTGGCTCCACGACTTGTTCCAGCTCTGAGCCTAGGCCTTTAAGAGGTCTCGAATGTTTCCACTTGCTTCCTTCCTCCTCTGCCACCACCCAACACATCCAAGCTAACCGATAAAACTGCTACCACGAGCAGAATGCTACCAAATAAATATCTCTGGCACTGACTTTGGGACCGGGCGGTAATGGTTGAGGAAACTGTTAGCAGAGGCTGGAAAAATGGTCGCCTGGGTGATACAGTGTGAAACACTTGGTAAAACAGTTGCTGGCAATAATTTAGAAGCTAGAAAATGTCCCTAAGGAGAAGGGGCGGACTCAGGCAAGATGGCGTCCAGGCAGAGGACAGGAGCGGGAGCGCATTTATGGTAGTTCGCACCGGAGCTGCTCTAAGAAAGTAATGGGCTCAGAACAAAACCAATACAAACCAAAACAACGTGCTATCGGGATCTTCTTTTCAAATGCTTTGGGAAAGAAAAAAAGGAAAGCGAGAACGAGATCGATGAAGCAGATGTGGCAAAACGTTGAGCCTGCGCTCTACATCGGCATTCATAGTACTCTTTTCCCTTTTTGTGTATTTTCATAATTTAAACATTTTTCATGATTTAAAAAAATCACGGCTGCACCCTCGGATGGCCTTTTTGATGCATCAACTTGGCTAGACTACGGTCCCATTATTGAAGCAAAAATCAATCTAGGTGTTGCTGTGAAGATGTTTTGTAGAGGTGATTAAAGTCCATAATCAGATGACTTTGAAGGAGATTATTTTAAATAATCTGGGTGGGCCTGACTCAATCAGTTGAAGGGCCTTCAGACCAGAAGTGAGGCTTCCCTAAGAGAAAAAATTCTACCTGTAGACAGCAGTCCCAGTCTGTATCTAAGAGTTCCAGCCCGCCCTGGGATTTCCAATTTGCCCTGCACCCCGCCCCCACCCCCAGCCACATAAAAGAAATCTCATCCAAATCTCTTCTTACTATATATCTCATGTTGTTCCTACTTCATTGGTTGAACCCTGATG